TCACTCAAGAATTTCTAGATTAACGAAGAACACTTTTTGACTATTTTTATTCCAATTTTACAAAATTTGTTCATAAACAATCAATCCTACCGTCCTACCGTTTATTTCTCTTAGGAGTCTCCGTTAAATTGTTTATGTTGTCAATGCTTTTGTTTCATGCCTCGATTTAGTTAATTTGGACTTCAAAGTTACGTTTAGCGTTTATCCGATATAAGTATTACTTTATATATTTGTAACTCTATCAATTATGTATAACCTTTATATTTATACGAAATACTAACAAAGAATCGAGTCTTTCCACTATTCCTAATTGAATTTATCCTTTTGTATATCTATTTAAACAAATAACTTCTTAATTGCTTATCCTATAATTCGTTATGCTTCAATTAACACTGTTTGACTGAATGATTCAAAAGGTTGGGGGTTATTCTCAGCGTTATTGTGGCTGGTGACTTGATAAATTCCTTTTAATGCTGCATCCCTCTTTTCTCAACCCTTCTTCTTTTTTTTCTCTCTCTCGTTATCACTGATGTAATTTTAAAAAAGAACGACTACATCTTGGTGTCATACACACACGTTCAAAAATTCAACGAGTCTATGAAGTTTATATGTGTGTACTTGTCTGTCTATGCAGAAAGATTTCAAATATCCAATTAATTATACAAAAGAGAATTTGCGCAACAAACTTATAAATGTGAATTAAACTGTTAATACAATTTAATGAGGACTCTTTGCCTATTTGTTTTAGCTCTATTATTGTTATTATTTGATGTTGGTTAATTTAATCAAATGTATTTTAGAGAGAGAGAGAGAGAAAGGCAGAGAACGGGGGACAAAGAAAGTTGAGAAAGAGAAGTAAGAAAAACAAACTAATTTTATATGACTGATAAAAGGAAAAGCTCAGTAATTCACTGTTCATATATATATAAAGAATAAAGAGCTTGCCTTGCAACTGGAAGGTCCTTGGTTCGAACCCTGGCGATGGATGCGTACTTCCAACAATTCCCAAACTAGGAGGAAATAATTGTCCAGTACTCCCTGCTTGTTTTCAATGGTTCTGTACCTGATATCACTCAGTGGTAAAACTTATAAAATCAAATCTAATCCTAACAAAACATCTCTTGAAGTTTTCCAATGATCATCACACACATTACTAATGTCACAGCAGAAGGCAAGACATGAAAGACACGGAGGGACATAGGGCTTCAGTCTCACGTCTCCACTGAGTTCAGTTCTCTCCTAACGTTCTGACCTGGTTCCACATCTGCACCCATGCTTTCATCTCCTATTCTCATGACCGCCTCCATGTTACCATCACACTGACGACCAACTCGCCACTTTCCATTCGGGTCCCACTCGAGCAATGGCCTGGCGTGTGTTGTGACCCACTTGATGGTGTTCTCATCGTATGGCCAATCCACCTCCATTTCTTTCTGCAGATTTGTAGCCCAATTGGTTCCTGTTCTGTTGATTCGCTCATTGCCAGAGATCCCTCACACTACTGCTGACCTTTTCTGGTCGTCCATCTGATCTTAAGTAGTATTGAGCGGAGGTAGTTGTTGATGAATGTGTGTAGTTTGTTCGAAGTGCCCTTCATGACACGGCGCCAAGTCTCTGATCCATATAGTAGTACTGACTTTTTTATTATTTTTATTTTATATTTTATTATAGCTTGACTTCACACAGTATTTTTGATACAAGTATGGAATTTTCAGCATGTGATATTGGTAACCCAAATTTAGCAGGCCGGCCGGTGTGCGTTGGTTGAGGATTGAACCCCGGACCATGTGCATGGTCAGCGAGAGTCCTAACCCCTGTTCGATCGCTGCACATTGATGCTGAAAATTCCGACCTTATTTTTCATTCTGAGTGCTATTGACCTCCACAAAGACTTGAGAGTAATGAAAGCTTACCTTGCTTTCCCGGTCATCGCCTTGATATCCTCGTCAGTTCCGTCCACCTCTAATTGAAACGATGCTCCGCATGTAGGCAGGTAGAGGAAGTTGTTTCTTTCAGTTGTCCCTCATTTATGCTAATTGTTGTTTGTTCCTGTTGGTTAGGAATCTTCATCACTCACGTCTGTTTTCTCTAAGTTCACCTGAAATCCTATCTTTTTTGAATGGTTGTTCTTCCAACTTGTTGCTTTTCACTTGCATATCTTCCATTTTATGGGGAATCAGACATATATGATCGGCGAAGTCCATATCCTCAAAGCTTTTTGTGTGTCTCCATTTTATAGCTATTTCCTCGCTGCCGTCTATGCTTCCGTCGCATTATCCAGTCTACCGCAATATATATATATAGTTATATATTCGTTAACCAATCACTGAGCGCGTGATTTTAGCTTACATTAAACAACATGAAATAGAATGTTCAAACAGATACATCGTATTCTGTTGTTATTGCAGTAGTGAATTGTGGGAATATGTGAGAATAATATGCCGTTAGAACACACTGTCTATATCACACCACCACACTAGCATTTTAGGAAGATCTAGTTTCTACCTACAATAAATAATGTTACGGCTAGACAATGCAACCGGCGCTTCTGAAGTCATGCTGGTGTGTCGTTTTTTTACAACTCATAAAGTAAACTAGTTATTTCAGAAGTTTGTGGTATATGACATCAGTGTATACTAATTTAAGTAAGATTTAAATTTATGCGAAGTACATTCAGACTTTAAGTTGAGAAGTAAGTGATGTCGATTTTTGTCGTCTAATTTTTACTGATGTGTTGACGGATACTTTGGTGGGTCGATTAAGAATTGCCATAGTTACTGGCAAATATTTAGGACTACTTGGCGTGAGTGGTTAATATATATTGTGTATGTCAAACAAATGCATCGATAGTCACCACCAATCAAAATAAGATCGATGGTGTTTTCAAGTTATGGTGATTCTGCAGACAATTTCAAAATAGGCCATATGATGTTTTACTGAATTATGTCTCACAGACAATATCCCATGTCACTTCATTTCCAGTGTTTATTTAGCATAAATCACTAGTTGTATTTGCCATCTCGTCAATCTACGACTACAAAAAATGTAATCAACAATATTTTTGAGTTATCGTACAGTTCCTGTGGCGCAGTAGTTCAGTAGCAGAATGCTGGCCATCCACGCAGTGGCCCAGGGTTCGATCCCCGGCCGATGCATTCCAATTTGTCCACTAGCCTGTAGTAAGCTTTGAAAAGATGGAGGAGTAGGGGTGATGCCAGCGACTCTATCCTTTAAAATAACCAACGCTACAAAAAATTCAAAACTAGTAGCCCAGAATTACACTCGGGACAAAAGGGAATGAAGAATACATATATGTGCATATATGGGACGACAGATAGCCAGAATCAGATATAGGGGGTTATTGTGAAAAATTCTGGCTTTTGAAATGATCATTGCTGGATCTTAGTCTCAGTGGGAACACGGTCACTCGCTGGCAACGCACCTACACTGACTGTCTAGGCTTATATAGGACAAAACATGCATCCGGAACTCCACTGCTAGCCACAGCCAACTAAGCAATATGATTTATTTTCTATAATTGGTTTATAAGAATTAAAATTTTTTTACGAGTGGATCACCAATTGATATCAGTTAGAGAACCATTGGAAACCAGGGAATACTGGACATCTGTTTCATCCTAGTTCGGGAATCATCGGTAGTACACATCCGCCACCAGGTTTCGAACCAAGGACCTTCCAGTTACAAGGCAAGCTCGTATGCCATTCAGCCATTGGGACCCATGAATACCAACTTCTACCAAGTGTGAGAATGGATGTCCCACTGATGACACTGGTTGGTGAACCCACTAAATCAAAAAAATTGGTAGATTTGGTTGGCCGCTGAATAGGGCCCAGTGGCTGAGTGGTATAAAAGCTTGCCTTGTAACTGGAAGGTCCTTTGTTCGAATCCCTACGATGGGTGCGTACTGCCGAGGATTCCCAAGCTAGAATGAAACAGCTGACTAGCAGTATTATTATAATTGTATCCTTTAGTTCCTAGAGGAACATAGGGCTTCAGCTGTGCACCTCCATTGCCTTCTGTTTTCTGCCAGCTTTTTCACCCCGCTCCAGGTCTGTCCACATGCTTTCATCTCCTCCAAGTCACCCTTGGACGACCAACTCGCCGCCTCCCTTTCGAGTTCCACTTGAGGGCTTGTCTAGTGATGTCACTCACTTGATGGTTTCCTCAGAGTATGGCCAATCCATCTCCATTTCTTCCTGCTTATTTGTTTCACAATCGGTTCCTGATTGGTTCGATCATTGCCAGAGATCCCTGTTGCTGATCTTTTCTGGTCATCTGATCTTGAGTCTAGCTGTCTAGCAGTACTCCCTGGATTTCAATTGTTCTCTAAATGATATCAATCCGTTGTCAAACTCTTAAAAATATTCAAGTGTTGGTTTGTAGGGATTTGATTGGTTACACGATATCATCATGAGCTGACATTATTCAGAGCACCATTGGAATACTAGGACGAAATAGCTGCCATGTACTCCCAGGTTTTCCAATGGTTCTCTCACTAATGTCAACTCATGATGAAATCTTAAAAAATATGATTGATCATTTGTTCACTAATTAAATGTGAGATAGAATGTTTGCTGAATAGCAACTATCATAAGCATTAAACTTATTCGTAAATATAACTGACACTAATTGCAGTATTATTATGATTATTCATTTCCCCTGTCAGTTTCTTTTTTTTTCACTAACGGCATTTGTATAAATATTGGCCAATAATAATAATAATAGAAATGGTGAGAGTTTCACTGACATTTCGATTATAACTGATAAGGAAAATTGTTGTATTTTATATCCTTTTAACCAATAGGATTTATCCCCATTCACGGACCATATGTTTTCTCCACCAATCATTCGTTTCCTAAATTGGAATGAGTATGAAAATATAAGGTTTGTAGGTTAAATCCCATCAAATATAAATACTTATCTATTGGAATGGAAAAATAATAATAATAATAATTTTATTCTCTTATTATAATAATACTATGCAACCGAATAACTTACTTCAGTCTGTTTCACCAACTTATTACTCCAGTTGCTCAACTGACAGTATGAAAAATATTTCGATATGTGCGCAAAATTCATTTTTTGGGATAGCTTCTTTATTAGGATTTAATGAACGGAAACAAGTAAATGAAATTGATCTAACAAAATTGTCTAACAGTTCAGAAAATTTATGTAAGTGTTTTGTTGTTGTTGTTGATTTTGGCCTTTGTTTGTATCATAGTTTATGGTATCATAGTGCTAATTGTTTATTGAATATATTTGTATAAAATAGTTTGAATAAGGAAAGATGAATTGGTGGATGGTGGCTAGCAGTGGAATCCAGGATGCGCATTTCGTCCTATTTGGGACTCGTCAGCTGGATGAAAACTAAATATCATTTTGTTGCGTCGGTGGCGCAGATGTAGAATGCTAGCCAGCCACGCTTCACATGTGGTTTGTGTTTCGAACCCCTGTTACCGACTCACTCCTTTACCTAACTAAGCCAGTATTGAGACCGGTAAAGAGAGAAGGTTGGGCATGAGGCTGGCTAGCATCCCTATCCCGTAAAAATAAACACCACTGCTAACGGAACTTCACATGTCTAGTCTAACGTTAAGCCCTATGTTTCTACTAGAAAAGTCATGGAATCAAATAAAAACGATAATAAGAAATCATCTTAAGACATTCAGCTTGTTAAACTACTCATCAATTTTTTAGATTATTATTATATTATTATGGATAAAGTTAATGACTGGTGCCTATAGGTTTTCACTGAACTTTTAACATAGTCTACCACTTTCTTTCATTCTAGGAAAATGTTTCTGTTTTTGTTTTTCACAGAAATTCTAGCTAACTAACCTCAATTGTCTTCGTCTCCTTACAAATAAAATAGTCAAGTGTTGGTTTGTAGGCATATGATTGATTGGTTACAGGATTTCATCATATGCTGACATTGGTTAGAGAACCATTGGAAAACCTGCAGGGAGTACTGGACAGCGGTTTCCATTGTCCTAAATTGGGACTCTTTAGTAGTACGCACCCACCGGCTTAGTGGTCTATGAGCTTGCTAGCCTTGTAACTAGAAGGTCCTGGGTTCGAACCCCGGTAGGTGCGTACTTCCGAAGAGTTCCAAACTAGGACGAAACAGCTGTCCAGTACTCCCAGCTGGTTTTCCAATGGTTCTGTAACCAATGTCAGCTTATGATGAAGTCCCGTAAGCAAATAAAATAGTAGCATGTATCACTAAAGTCTTATTGGTTTGGAATGTGAACGGCTATTATTCACAGATAATGAACTGTACGATGGTAGATTGAAGATAATGAAATAAGTGAGCGACAGTCTGTGAATTATAAAAGTTATCTCGATCATACCAGTGTATGTTTAAAACTGTCGAACGGAATTAGTTTGCCTGATAAGTTTAAATTAGCAGAAATATTTAGCCGATATGCAGGATGCACTCTTAACTGTTTGTGCACAGTTGCATAAAACACTTGAAGTGTGAAACTCTACTAGTTTCAGCAAATAATAATGATAATAATAATTTCAACTTCAAAGTGGTCTTGAAACATTTAACCCTGAGGGTAATCAGATTATTCTTGACTAGTATTTATTCAGCCGTGAAACTATAAGTGGAAAATAATAGACGTCGGAATGATAGACAACATTAGTGTTAATAATTCGATTCATTAACTATATCACATTTCAGGGGAAAATTACATCTCATCCCTGATATTATTTGATAGGTAGTGTCTAGTATGGCGATCTAGTAGGCGCGTTTATTTACAACTCGTATATTCCGTATACATACGTTATTCACTAGTGGCCTACAAGAACCGTTTATTATGCAACATGAAGGTTGTAATCAAGACCATAATCGAAACGTCTGTACTAGAAATCGATCATTTCGGTCTAGTAAATACAACCAACAGGGAATTCAAAGTTTTAATATAAACACAAATTTCAACTTGTTACTGAAATTTTATCAGATAATACGACTACGTCTCAGGACAACACATATACTCATAATAGTGATCATACTACTGGATACAGAAATAATGCTGAACTACAATGGGAAAATAGGGCTTTATAATATAGCTTGTTAATGACTGCCAGTTAGTAATAAATAGAATTTGTTTAGGAAGGCACGCCGATAATTTGCCATAAACCAAAGTCAAAACTCTACTCGTAGTTAGCTGAGTTTAGGGACCTCCTGAATTCCCTAAATGTGTCCAAATTAGGCTGGAAATATCCAGCAACATATTAGGAAAAATAGTCTTCAGGTAGATTTAGATTACTAGGTCCTGTTGTATTTACCCCGGTGGCATAGCAATTGGGATGCTCGCCGACCAGGCATATGGTTCCAGGTTCAATCACCAGCCACCGACGCACTCCTTTACCTCGCTAAGCTAGAAATAAAGCTGGTAAAGAGTAAAGGTTGGGCATGAGGCTAGCAACCCCATTCTGTAAAATTAAACACTGCTACCGAAACTTCAAGACTCTAGCTTGAAGCCTAATGTTCCACTGGGAACGTGAAGGAATAAAAGAAAAAAAGGAAAGAGATCTTGTTGTATAAATCACGCGTCTAACTCAACGGTTAGTTAAACACGGGCGTTATGCAAACTATCCCGTTGCTTGATTGCTTATCTGGTTAATAAATAACTTCTGGCTTCATCCGGTATTCAGACATATTTAACTATCTCTGTTCAAATCTATTGGAATCACTTTACAGGAAACAGATATCTGACTTTTAGTTTAACTTTCTGTGTTGTTGAGATGCCGCGAAGTGTTCAAACTGTCTTTACTCTGAATACAATGGTGATGCATTTCTTTCGCAGACTGATCGCCATTTTTGCATTGTGGCCTATCCCCAGCCATCCTGGAGGCTTTTAGCTTCACATTGAAAGTCCCTTCTACTAGATAGTGGTCTGAACCCACATCTGCTCCACTCCTTGACCTTGTGTCCAGTAGGCTCCGTCTCCACTTTCTTGAAATTGAGATGAAGTCTATTTGGTTTTCTGTGTTTCCATCTGGTGAAATCTATGTAGCCTTGTGTATATCCTTGTGTCTGTACACTGCCACCAATCACCAAATCATTGCAGGCTCAGACGTCTGAGTAGAGTACACCATTGTCGTTCATTTCGCCGAGGGCCTCACGACCCATGGTGAGTTCTCTTCCTGTGTTGTCTCCTCCCAGCTTCGCATTCAAATCGCCCATCAGGATTTTGATATCGCCATTTGGGACGTTGTCCATTACTATTTGCAGCTGTCTGTAGAAATCCTCCTTCTTCTCTTGTTCTGAGACGTTTGTAGGCGCATAGCATTGGATGATTGTAACCTTCCTTCCTTTTGAGTTGAACCTAGCTGTCATTATCCTGGAGGAGATTGTTTCCCACTGCATGAGAGCTTTGGCTGCTGTTGGTGACATCATGATGGCCACTCCCTCGGTGTGCTCGTGGTTGTCCTCTGGGTGACCGGAATAGATTATTGTCTCCCCCAGTTGGTAGTTGGCACCTACCACATCCGTTCCATCCATCCGCTCTCTCAGATTCCCAACACTTCTATTCTATATCTCCTCATTTCAGCGGCTACCTGGGTAGCCTTTTCAGTTTCGTACATTGTACGAACATTCCAGGTACCCATCCTTATTTTTGCTTTCATCGAAAGAAGGAAAGGACATCGGCTGATTGGCTTCCCGAAGGCTAGCTTTCACCAGCCTGTGTCATTTCACTCCCCCGATTCCAGAGAAAAATAAGGTTACTGTTTATATTTTTAGAATTTTTAATATATCTGTGCATTGAAATTTCTGTAGCAATTTGGTTAAGTTTTTTTTTTGGGGGGGGGAGCTGCTAGCACCACGCCCCAACCCTCCCTCTGTATCCGGGCTTGGGACCGGCTAGAAAACTAACAAGCTAGTAGTCTAGGCGAGACTAATTGCCATTGCTAAGCGAATACTTAATAAACCGAATAAAACTAATCTCAGTACTGACCGTAAAATCTTTATCTGTTGTTCAACATTCTGAAATTCTATTTCATTGATGCTTTCATCCAGTTTGTCACGTGTTTCAAAGTTAGAGTAGTTTTAGTGTCTCCATTTTTGTATAATGATAGTGTAAGTAAGGTAAAACACAGCAGTGCTTGGCAGCTGAAATCATGTATTAACAACTCGATATTCAGCTGTAGGCAAAATAGGTCTACCACAGGTTGAAATCGCAATTCGCACATATCTTCTCTATTGTACTGCTTTGTTTTCCTTTCAAGTTTTCCATGCTGTTTCATAATCACTCTTCATTTCTTCCCTTTTCATCACCAGTGAATCCATCTCACTGCTATTAGATATTCTTGCGGATGATAAACACATTTATATCTGTATCTATAATCTACATTTGTATATTTTGTCACTAGTACATACCATAGTAATGATCCTTCATTTCTTAAAATGGCAATAAAGCGAAATAATCATCAATTCGTCTGAGTGAAAAATAATAACAAATCAAGAAATCACCATCATAAATTTTAATAAAATGGTTTTTAATGAGTACTATTCAAAGGTTGGGATTACCTTTATGGCTAAACCAATAGGAATTGTAAATTATCATTCTGATCAGGTGGACAAATGACACTAGTCATTCAAAAGTCATTTATCCGAGTTGATTTCATGCACTGTCTCGCTGTAGATGCAACTGTTAAGAGATTTTCAGGCTAGTCCTTTTTATGAGAAATGTCAATCTTTTAAACGCTTGGGAAATCGAAATGCTGTTAGCAAAGCCTTAGTCTGTCCTGAATTAATTATCAGCAATCGGCGTTCTTTACCAAGACTGGAGATATTTTTCACAGCTCCACATCACAGACACTTTTGCATAAAGTGACTTCAGTTTTTAGGTAAGGTTCACTAAAGTAAACACAATTCTCGTATTTGGAAATCATCGACCGGATGTACTTGGCTACTTAATAAGTGATCGTATTCTCACTCAGACTCGAACCTAGCAGGCATCGTATCAGATGTCAAAGAGTCCGATAAATTCAATCAGAGGGAATTGAAATAAATAACCTTTGGTTCCCCTTCATAGTGCTAAATTGTTAACTGTATAAAGTTTATGGAAGCAGATTAACTATTAAAAGTTTTTAATATTTTCCTAATATAACAGCACAGACATTCTTCAATCAATTGAATTGCTTTCAGCTAACCTAGGACATCTATAAAAGCTATCGTGTGTATTTCCAAATAATAATGAAATTATTTCATGCATATTTCAGTATTTTATTAACTACTAAAATCTAATCAATTAGGAAGAAATGGCGGTGTCGGGTACGTACATAAACTTCGGCTGTCCCCTATACATTTAGCTTTATCTATCGGCTTTCATCCAGACTTTAAAAATAATGAAGAAAAAAGGTTATATCCAAATGTGTATTTTCAAGATGTTTCAGATTACGATGTGGTGGTTGAATAACGAAGTGCTTTCTTTGATAGTTATGACTGTTTTTTTTTAACTTATCGCATATACAGATAGTTAACAAGTCGCATTGAAATACCCAAGAAAATTACTCGATCACATCAAGTAGAAATTCTGTCGTGGTCCCGAACAGAAAATAAATTTCACTGTTAAAGGTGAACTGGTACTAGCTGAAAGGAATCTACAGTAAACACAGTACTCATATTCAAGTGTTGGTTTGTAAGGATTTGATTGGTTACAGGATTTCATCATGAGCTGACATTAGTTAGAGAACCATTGGAAAACCTGAGAGTACTGGGCAGCTGTTTCGTCCTAGTTTGGGACTCTTCAGAAGTACGCACCCACCGGAGTTCGAAAACAGGACCTTCTGGTTGCAAGGCGAGCTCGTAGACCATTCAGCCACTGGGACCTTATCCAATGGCCCATGAATTCTTAGTGGCTTAATGGTATACAAGCTCGCCTTGTAACCAGAAGGCCCTGGGTTCGAACACCTATGGTTGCGTTCTGCTGAACAGTACTCATAGTTATCATTGGGAAAACTTTTGAAAATACTTCTATCATATTTTTAAATTTAACTGAGACAGTTTTAACTAGAAAAAATATCATCATTACATAAATGGTGAGTAACAGGCGCCATACTTCCTATGCATACTCGAGAACTGTAAAACTTTATGCATATTTATGTAAATAAATTTTTCTGGAGGTTTGTTTAGAACTGATTCGAACACCTGTCATTCTTATTCATAGGTGAAACTAATCACCTTAATTCTTTTTACTATACAGTTACGACTTTGTCAGACGATTCAAATGTAATGGATTACATTAAATTGAGTGAAGCGCCTCAATGGTTCAATTCACAAATGAAAAATAACATTCAAAATCACTCAGCTTTCCATGATCATGATCACTATTCCCTGAATTCTCCGAAGCGAACAATTCCATCGTATAAGTTTAATAGTCAAATGGAAAATAAAAATTCTAATAATAATAATAATAATCAAATAAATACAAAGACCAGATCGCTGAAATCAAAACCGCTTCTTCGTCCGCCTACATCCAACACAGGGATTGAAACCTCTACAAATGACGCAAACAGTCTTACAGTGAAAACAAGGACGAAACATCAGAATCATGTCAGTCAACATGTTCATCATCATCACCACCACCATCATCAACAGCAGCAGCAGCAGCAGCACCAGTTACGTGAACAGCACTCACGTGATCGCAAGCATAGGCGTAATCGCACCACTTTTACAACTTTCCAATTACATGAATTAGAATGTGCATTTGAGCACAGTCATTATCCAGACGTTTTAAACAGAGAAGAATTAGCTGCAAAAATTAGGCTGCCGGAAGTTCGAGTTCAGGTAATTTTAAAATGCCTGATATAATTTTGTTCCTTACTTCATAACTGAACCTAATATTATTGTTTTTTATTCTTTTACGTTCCCAGTGGAACGTGGGGCTTCAAGCTAGAGGCTTGAAGTTTCGGTAACAATGGTGTCATATTTTTATTTTATTTTATTTTACGGGATGAGGTTACTAGCCTTATCCCCAGCCTCTCCTATTTACCAGTCTTAGCGAGGTAAAGGAGTGCGCCGGTGGCCAGGGATCGAACCCCGGACCACAGGCGTGGTCGGTGAGCATTCTACCGCTGTGCCACCGACGCAGTATTATTGTTAAGCAGGCAGATATTCATAAGTGAATTGGTGGGATATATACAGAGTGAATGTATGACACAGGTATGACTGCATAAAGTATGAAATTGGTTGCTCCACTCTTATATAAGAAAGCCAATGTTATTATCTAACTCAGCTAATCAGAAGGATTTGTCTGTGCCGTCAAATGATACAATGTCCCATGGAACTACTCTGTCACCATGGCCCCAGGAAGGCTTCCAGTCAGATCCATAGAATTTGATGAAAACTGAAGACTTGACCGGTTATAGATAACTCTACAGAAACTTGACACCGCTAATCAAGTCAGGTTAGCAGACAACTGGATGTGCGAAACAGTATAAAATAAACGAAGCCTAGAGATATTTAGGCATACAAAATTAAAGTACTGTAATTAATACACCATTGTGTGATGTTTAAGAAATAAGTGTATCATAGTTGCTGCTGATCTGAGTGAAGCCAGTTTCTTCTCCTGAAGTTATTAACTGGAAATTTCTTCAGCCTCTTCGTCCATCATTTGTATGAAAAGTATATAATCTTAGAAAGGCTTCGGGGTGATTTACTGTTGAACTGTGCAGGATAAGTGTCATGCGCCCACTGAAAATAAATTCTTCTGTAAATACCTAGGTGAGGTTTTTCAGTCTGTTAGGAACACGTATGGTATATATATGCCACTTGGGAATTAAAACAGACCGTATATTCTTCAGTGATGCATACAATTCAAAGAAAGACAGACCTTTTGGATGATGACAACTGATGAGTAGTTTCCTCAGTAATAAATCCAGAGGGTTCTAGCTTTGCAAAAACTACAATATTCCGTTTAATATGGTAGGTAGGAGGTTGGCTGATTGACTAGTATCTAGCATATTGTAAAAATAACCCTGTACTTTAACACTCCAAGAAAACATCTCAATTAAGGGAAAATAACACACATTAGCTGGTCTGCTTCTATTTGTAGCTTCTTTAGACGTCAATATTTTCCATTCGATACAGAATTGACGTGTGAGTGTTACTAAAAACAGGCCATTTTCAAAGCTTTGATGATTTAGCCAGGATTTTCCCTAAGCCTTATAATAAAAGATGGCGGAAAGCTGGTTCCTAATTCACCTTTATTATCATCTTACTTTTCACTAATTAATTTAGGTTTGGTTCCAGAATAGACGGGCGAAATGGAGACGTCAAGAAAAACAAGAGGCTATGATCCATACAAAAAATCTTGAAGAAGCGTTACCATATCTCAAAAAGCACAATAATAATAATAATAATGCGTCCTTTGAGATGAATCCATTGAAAACAGAAATTCATCCATCAGACGTTGATAATAAAAGTGAATTATATTCTCATGAAACCAACGGTTCATTATACCAGGTCTCTCCTTATCTGCATGAAACGTATTTTTCGAATCCCAAAGAAGTTTACAGCATGTTACCAAATATTATAAATCCAATACAGTCGATGTTCATGACAAATGACTACCTAAAGTCACATCACTTAAATGATAGTTCTGGGTGAAAAACAAATACTTCACATAGCACAATTTCACTTAATTAATAAACGTCAAATTGAATTACAAGCGAGAAAAAAAAAAGAAACAGAGATTAATTTCACTGACTGGTTTTGAAAATACTTTATTCTTTCATTTTGAATTTATTTTGTAAAAATTGATTTTTCCTCTGCCAATTTCAAGGTATTAATTCCAAGTAATCACTCAGCGATTTCTGATTCTTTTCATCCTTACCAATCAAGTTTTCGAGTCATGCGGAAGTCAACAAAGAAGTGTTAGTCTGCAATCGGAGGGAAAACTTAATTAGTGTTTGTGTATCCAAGTAATTCAGTAGTCTAAAACTTTGATTTGTGCACAAGCAGTTGGTGGTCACCTGTGTAATTGCGTATTTGTCGATTCCATTTTGCATTTTACCAGTCTGTATGAAATACACTAAATTTATAAAAACATATACCAAAATTGTGTCCATTTTTCTGGAAATCCTTTCGCAATAAAAGTCATTAGTTGCTAGTTCACTTTCTTTTTTTTTTAAATCTTTGTTGCCATACCATCAACCACGTATGAGTCCATGAAACCTACGGGTACCAATACTCCATGTCTTTATGGCCTACCAAAAGTGCACAAACCGGGTCTTCCTCTTCGCCCTGTTTTAGATATGTATAACTCTCCATTTCACGGAACAGCGAAGTGGTTAGTTAAGATCCTGGGTCCTTTGCACAGAGAAATCGTGCAACATCGAATTAGTGATGTCTTCGACTTTATTTCTAAAATATCCGAGACTAATGTGAGGTATAAACGCATGTTATCCATGGATGTATCATCACTATTCACTAACGTACCGCTTATGGAAACAGTGGATTATATTTGTCAAGAAATCACCGATAGGCAATTAGACTTAGGAATCCCCTTGTGTTACTTCTTAAATGCACAATGAATGTTCACTTCGTCTTCAATAATTCATACTATCGACAAGTAGATGGAATAGCTATGGGTTCACCATTAGGCCCAATATTAGCTGACTTCTTTCTCGCAAAACTTGAAAACGGGAAATTGAAGGATACCATCAAGGAGTTGGATATGTATTACCGATATGTCGATGATACATTTATCTTAGCTGATGAGAAGGTTAACACAGACGAATTGTTACTTAAATTCAACAACATCCACCCTTCGCTTACCTTTACTTGTGAAGAGGAGCAGGAGAATAAACTACATTTCCTGGATGTCTTGCTAAGTAGGAGAGAAGATGGGTCACTTGGGAGAAGTGTGTACAGAAAAAGCACATTCACAGGGCAGTACACACACTTCCTTAGTTACGTGCCCATTAAATATAAAAGGAATCTTGTAAAATGTCTCGCGAGCAGAGCAAGGAAGATATGTACGGAGGACCTCTTACAAAAGGAATTTGAATATATTCACGATTCCTTGACGGAGATGGGTTATCCGAGTAGTTTCATAAAGAAACATATGAAACCATCAGAGAAAAAACCTGTGACTCTGACTGCACATAAGAAACCTCTATTTATTAAGTTACAATTTAATGGGGACTTATCTAGTGAGATTCTATTCCAAAGACTTTCAAGGAGTATACGTAGAACATTTTACGCAGCACACCTATGTTTGTCATTCTCTAGCCGACGAATGATTGGGACGCAAACGAAGGATAAGCTTGATAGTTTTGCCACATCTATGTGTATTTATCAATTCAACTGCACCTGCGGTGACAGTTATATTGGGCGTACTACTAGACAGCTTAGCCAACGTGTTAGTGAACATCTCCCATCGTGGTTTGGCAAAGGACAGACAAAAACAATCCGTAGCTCAATTCTGTCACATCTAATTGATAGTGGTCATGTAGTCGATAAAACGAAAGCCTTCAAAGTAATTCATCGTATCCCACCGAATCTTTCTAATAGACTTCGTATTCGTCTACTGCACACAGCTGAGGCGATAGGAACACGAACTATTAAACCTAAACTATGCATCCAAAAGAAGTTCGTACAGCCATTATCCCTCCCTTGGCCTAATAAGACATAACCAACTAATGACTTCTCCACCACCCCTTACTTATATTTTCAACCCATCTGTTATCATCCCTTAATCTTATCATATTTTCATTAAAAACGTGTCTCGTTTCCTTCCCTTACAGTCTAGCATTACTTAATCGGTTCATTTGTTTTTACCAGCCTTTATCGACTACTGTGTTCACCTGAACAAACTGTTTGTTTAATCATACTGTTTCTCGTTATTCGTGTTATCACAGATTGCCTCACCTTTTCATCCTTATGATTGATAAAACTATTATTATTATTATGACAAATTGCACAATTTATAGTCACCATCTTATTATCCAATAGACAAAACACCATGATTGGTTTATATTTGAATTTTTATTTGTAAAGTTATGTGTGTATATTAAAGTTAAGCCTGATGAGATCTAATTGAAAACAACAATATTGTCAAAGAGTAAGACTGTAGACGATGCAGAACATTATGTATGCTTCATTCAGATAATATCACCGCATCGATTGTAAAGGTGTGTCTCGTGGAAGATGCAGAGAGGAATGATCTTTGGCAAGATTGATTATCAGTGATTAATCTGTCTACTATCCAAGATTTAGAGGTCCTTCAGAAAATTTCTAACCCTAAAATAAGCGCAGAATGAACACTGAAGAAGAATATTAATAATTTTATTTGACTGGATCTCTTCATTTGCATAAAATCTATCAAATATATAATTATAGTAAACGTTATGAAGTTCATTTGACGATGCTATCCAACTCGGATATTCGTTCGTGGCCTTTTTCAAGTGTATACGGATTAATATAAATGCACTACATTTCTAATCTATCGCAAAGAAATCTTAGAGGATTTAATAAAACGATGTTCTTGTTCAGGAAAAAAAAGTATTACAATTCTGTTTTGCCTTACGTGAAATGAATCTTCAGTGGCGGTTGATAAATTCAACCTTTAACCTGTACTACCTGACTGGTATAATCTAGTGATAGGATGATAATGCTCAAACTGAATGTTAGTCATAGTGTTACGCAGTTAATAATCAATCATTTATCAGAAATAAGGCATAGTTTTACGTTTATGAGTGAAAATAAAAGGTAGATACTTTTAATGCATCAGAGTATTATTTTTTTCTTCATCACAATAACCGAGTTTTTTTTACGAGCTAAGTGAAAGAGATTCAGCATACTTTATCCTCTGGACACAGAATAAGATCTAAGGAGAGTATTAATAACTGCATTCTTAGCTTTCAAAAAGTATGACGTCAAACCACTAATATATCATGAAAGCTATGCTTAGTAAACGGGAAAATTTTCTGCATAAGTCTGAGTAAGTAATACAAAAGCAGGAAGGGAAAATCACCACAGGTAAATAAATCTCTGTTTATTTCATCGAAATGTTTCTAAAACGTGGTGAATAGTAGAAATTGTAACTGTGGTGGGGGGGGGCGGGGTGAAAATTGGAAGGAACTAACAAGGGTTCCGTAATATGAAATAGGATGACAATGGGGACACGTGTCTAAAAAACAAATTACGAAATAGGCAAAAAGAGTGAATAAAGGTGTAATTATATTTGTAATAGCAGTATTTCTATTTCGCAATGACCGAATTAAAGGAAATCAACCAAAACACAGAGAGGGAGGAATTTAAGAATTTGTATTTGGTGGAATTATTATTGAATTCATATAAGAAATATATTAACAAACAACAGTGAGTATTTAAACAATACAGAGATAGAAATTGTCAATCACCACATCCGCCACATGTCGAATGTTTCCTTGCATATTTATAATGATGTCTCGTTTTGCTTGCAAGTCGCTGCAATCTTCTAACTGATTCTGTGATATTATTTTCATCAGTATCATCTGGACTTATTTCTGAATTATCTACAAAATCAGGATTAGTAACGGAATCATTAAAATTATAATCGGAACGACCTACTTCATTTATTTTCACTTTATCCAGGTATCTGTTATGAACTGAGTGATCTTCGATGTCTAATATCTTCACCATTCGATTTCCCATATTTTGTAGTATGATTCCAGCAGAATGTCTATAGTCATTCCTTCTTTAATAATGTACATCAGAAGTCGTGGACATCAGATGCTTTCTGAGAATTCGAGATTTGAATAGTTTTGCAGGACTTTCATGGGTACTTGTATGTTCTGCATTCAACAGATGCAGTCTATGCATATGCGGCAATTCCGTCATTTTAATCAGTTGCTTTCTCGTCTCAGTCAGCTGTTGACGAGTGGACAACCAGCCAGCTTCCATTTCACTTACTTGTTTCCGAAACACTCCACACTGATGTTCTAAATCCTTTTCCACACCTGTCGCTGACTCAACAAAACATTCTAGTTCACCAATCTTTTCACTACTTCGCTTATTCTCAGATTCCAGCTCAACGATTTGAGTTACCAGTCTGCAGATTTCTTTCTCCTTCATTAAACAGGAGTTCTCAGCAGCTGAAAGTTTAACTGTTAAATTTTTATTCGTCGCCTGTAAACGACCAACCAATTCATTGCTACTTTTCAAGCTCTCTTCAACCTCTAACAAATTTTTTCGTGTTTTAGACAGATCGCATCGTAACTCGACCACCTCATTTTTAAAAACACGTGATAAAGTTGACGCTTGCATTCCTGTACTTGTAGTGAAGGTTTTCATTGGATGAGATTGAGTATTGTGAAAAGTTGAAAGAGACATTGACTCCATTTTACTAGACAGATTGGGAGAATCATGAGAATTCTGAGTAATATAAGTATTCGAACTTCTGCAAACAGACTTGATTTGTCCAACTTTACCACATTT